TGGGTCATGAAACGCCTGCAAGAAAACAAGCCAGCTCAGAGAGCACCCGGGACCCCTCAAATCCGTCCTGAGCTACAGATTATTCTCCTTCGCATTTCTGTTGCGCAGATATTTGCTCGCTGTTTTTGGGGGGCACTTGTGGGTTTTAACCGAACTCGGATGCTAAGTTCCTCTCCTGGGTCTCCTTCAGAATCCGGCTGCCTTTGACTTCCTTCTGCAGCGTGTGGAGAAGACGCTCCGCCATGCCGTCGAGGAAGAGGAGGGGATCCCCTTAGAGCAGGTCACCAATTTCCAAGAGGTAAACCTTCCATGCCAAGGAAAAACCGAGATGGACACGAGGCAACGGCAGGGCCTGTTGGGGAATTTCCCGTCCTTCAGCTGCAGCCACCGTTGAAGTTGTCTCTTCTTCTTGAAGCAGTTTCTGATTCTTGCGTCTGTCCTTTTGCTGTTCTGCTTTCTCTTTTTGTCATAGTGAACATAAATCACTGCAACAAAGTTACAGCCATACAGTCACAAGTGGGACAGGATGGGTGATAAGGAGTGATGGGAGAATTAATAGTAATAGTGCAGACTTTGTAAATAGTTGGACAGTGTTGAGGGAATTATTTGTTTAGCAGAGGGATGGCTTTCGGGGGAAAAACTCCTTGTGTCTAGTTGTTCTGGTGTGCAGGGCTCTATAGCGTCGTTTTGAGGGTAGGAGTTGAAACAGTTTATGTCCAGGATGTGAGGGGTCTGTAGATATTTTCACAGCCCTCTTTTTGACTCATGCAGTATACGGGTCCTCCATGGAAGGCAGGTTGGTAGCCATTGTTTTTTCTTCAGTCCTAATTCATCTCTGGAGTCTGTGTCTGTCCTGTTGGGTTGCAGAACCAAACCAGACAGTTATAGAAGTGCAGATGACTGACTCAATAATTCCTCTGTAGAACTGTTTGGTATACTATTTCTTCCTCGATTGTTACTCCTGCTTATGTGGATTGTCGGTTAATAGGCATGTGATGAGGAAGGGAGTGCCATTCCTTTTTTTCTTTTGCCAGCTTTGACAGTTGCCTTCTCAAAGACAAACATTGGTCCATGGACAAGCAACATAGGTCCCTGTGTACATTTTGCTTGCTGTGTCCTTGAATGATGTGTATTATTTGAAATACAGCTCAGCAAAACGTCACTGATCCTGCGAAAGCTTTCCTTTTCTCGTGACTTCCTTTAAACCTCTGTCCTTTGCAACAGATTTGTGAAGAGATCAAAGTTAAGCTGAATTCCCTGAAGGATGTTCCCAACAGAATTGAATGTCCCCTCATCTACCACCTGGATGTGGGAGCCATGTATCCAAACATCATCTTAACCAATAGGCTGCAGGTGAACATGGTTTTCTTGGTAGCTGTGGATGTTGGGGGAGAGGGGGGAATTAAGGTTTTAATTCTCTGTTTTGGGGTGGGGTGCTCATTTTGGTTCACGGTGGGGCAGTCGGCCAAGGAAAACATGGTTCCAGCAATTAGGTGTCATCTTGTAGTCCAAGATCAGAATGAGACTTTAAAATTCTTCAAAGTAAGAGCTGAATCCGTTTTGTAATTGATGAGGTGAGCAGTCTGTTTCCTGAATGGCTCTAGGAGAAATACACACTATAGTGGCCTCTTCCTGGAAGGAAGGCTGGTTCAGATTGTTTTTTTCTGCAGTCCTAACTATCCATTGAACTCTGTACCTGATCTCATGTGAGCCATCCGGTGACCTTAGTATCAGTAATGGTGGCATTTTATTGCTGTGCTTACGTGCAGAGAATCAAAAGAGCAAGGAATAAAGAGCCCATGCTGCACAGCCATATCCTCTCTTCATTCAAATTCAGTGATGGGAATGTCTTTACTTAGCTTTTTATTTCCAAAGCTATTGGCAATTTGGGTTCCCACTAGATGTCAGTGCATTAAAACGTTGCTCTGGAAAGCAATCTCAGATTCATTCTTCTCTCCTCATGTCCAGTTCAGTACTGAATTTTGTCTTCCATGTTCCTTTAACCACAGAGGCCTAATATTATTGATCTAAATGACCGTAAAGATAAGATCCAGCTTGCCCAGTGCACTAACTACTCTTCTCTATATAAGAAGAGACGTAGAATAACTTTATTGCCACCTCGAATGTACTCTAACCAGCATACATTAAAATGAAATGTCGTCACATGCAGCTCCCAAAGGGTCACCACCTCCAATATACACTAAATAAGCACGACAAAATAAATAAATAACAAAACCATGAACGTACCCACATGGCTTTTGTCGTGAATGCTTTCTTCCCCACCAGCCCTCGGCTATCGTGGATGAGGCAACCTGTGCTGCTTGTGACTTCAACAAGCCCGGGGCCAGCTGTCAACGGAAAATGACTTGGCAATGGAGGGGAGAATTCAGTGAGTCTTAATGTCCGTTGGCTCGAGCATAGCTCTTGTAGTTCGTATTCTCCAAGCCTGACTCTTCAGAAGTATTCTTCATCCTGGTTTTTCCTTCCCATCGGCAGTGCCAGCAAGCCGGAGCGAGTTCCACCGCATCCAGCAACAATTGGAATCGGAGAAGTTTCCTGCCCTTTTCCCCGATGGGCCTCCCCGGGCCTTCCATGAACTGCCTCGAGAAGATCAAGCTAAATACGAGAAGAAGCGATTGGCCGGTGAGAACAAAAACCTTCCTTGGTTCCAGTGGGAGAAATTCTGAACGTGGCTTTCCATTTTTTAAGTTCTAACTGGAGTCTGATATTGAGCGAGGACTCAGATGAGGGGCCAGGACCATCAGGGAGTGGACTGCTGCCTTCAGAGATTTTGGGGGCTGGCAGCAGTGATGAGGTTCCCGAGGAGCCTCTGCCAAGTGCGCATGCGCTCAGGACTGCTCGCAGGAAAGAGCAGCTGCAGCAACACGGGCGACTCGGGAGTAAGGCTGCAAGGTAAGGGCCCCTCCTTCAAGAAGATAAAAGCCAGTTGTGAATCGGACGTTCTTTGCAGGAAGCAAAGACGGTTTGAAACTCAGCCTCGTGGACATTGCAGTATCTTAGTTGTTATTTGAAGACTCTTGCTTTGTAAAATATTTCTTATCTGTTATTCTTGGCAGCCTTGCACGGTTTTGGCGAAGCTCATGCTTCTCAGAGTTAATTAGTTTGCAGCAGCCTTTTAACCGGGGATTCGTAAGAATCATTAAAAGAATCATTTCTGTTCCCTTTGGTTCGTGTTTGTTTTATTGGAAAAGGGTTTGGGTCAGAACATTAACTGAACTGTTGTAAGTCAAGGACTACCTGTAGGTGGATGGGGAAGATCTGGAATGATTTCCTGGAAAAGTCTCTGTATTTGGGGTTAAAATACCTCCGTTTCTTTGGAGCAGATTATTGTCGGAAAGCTTACAAGAAGATCCATGTGACAAAAGTGGAGGAACGTGTCACTACGATTTGTCAGCGAGAAAACTCCTTCTATGTAGACACAGTGCGAGCTTTTCGAGATCGTCGCTATGAGTTTAAAGGATTACACAAGGTACAGTTGGGGTATTTGGGTTATAGCCTATAAAGAATCAAGAAAGAAAGAAAGAAAGAAAGAAAAAGTTAACAGCAAACTATTTTCATATTATTGCCAGAAATCTACACAGACATGAGTGTGAAGCAACCAGGAATCAACCCAGTTTAATCAATTGAGTGTAATATGCAGTAGTTCTGTTACAAATTGTTTGTTTTTCTACCGTCACAGAACTGCCTGAAGTAAACACTTCCTGCCTTTCTAGGAATTTGGAGTTCTTGGCTACGGAAGATGCCTGCTATTCAGACTGAACAAAATAAATTAACATGAATAAATCATCAGCCCTAAACAGGCTGTTGCTTTCTATCTCAAATCCCCCTCTGAGCTTTCCAAGACGGAGGCTCCAGGCTGCCTGTAAGGACCATCCGTCTTTCCTGTCTCCCCCGTTCCAGGTGTGGAAGAAGAAGCTGGCAGCTGCCACCGAAATGGCCGATGCCTCGGAGGTGAAGCGTTGCAAGAACATGGAGATCTTGTACGACTCCTTGCAGCTGGCACACAAGTGCATCCTCAACTCCTTCTATGGCTACGTCATGCGCAAAGGGTGAGTGTAAAACAGAACAGGAGGAACGTGGCTAGCGGGGGCCTCCCAAAGGTGCTTTTCCCAGGAGGCCACTGGACGTTCTTGGTTTTTCTTTAAGACGTTTCGCTTCTCCTAGCGGCTTCTTCAGCTCTGACTGGATGATGAGGAAGGGAAGGATTTATGTTCCTTGCAGGCAGAGCTGGTCATTTGCATCCTTTGAGAGGGTCGTTGAGGCCACTTGGAGCTTTGTCTGTGTCCTCAGGGTTACCTGAGGTGGTGCAAATGGGTGTAGAGCCTTCTTGGAACTGCTGAAGGACTTCGTTGTAGACTGGAGATAGATGATATTGTATCCCTCCCCCTCTGTTGAGGGAGGGGTGTTCAATTTGGACACAGGTGGCCTCTTTGACCCCTCTATCAATGGCCCCTTGAACTGTTTAAGGTTCTAACTTGTGGTCGTGTTCCAAAATTGTGTTCTGAGCTTGCCCACCTTGCCTCAAGCTTCCAAGTATCTCTGGGTCAAATTAATTTATTTTATCACCTGCTGCTCGTCTCCCCAAAGGAAACTCTCAAGGCACGGAGCCCTGAAACCTTCCCAGGGTGTTGCAACGCCAGGCCTAGAACCTGGGAACTCGTTCCTACCCTGTGTTTTCTCTCTCTCTCTCCTACGCAGGGCCCGCTGGTACTCTATGGAAATGGCTGGCATTGTCTGCTTCACTGGCGCCAACATCATCACTCAGGCCAGGGAACTGATTGAGCAGATTGGGTGAGTCCTGGAGTGA